ATTGGCCCTGGCTTTGACTCCCACCAAAACAGGGTGATCCTTTACACACAAAGCTTGAATGGCAATAAATTCAAACTAGCCATGATTTCCTTGGGCAAAAAGGGTCCTTAGAATGGGACAATGGGTTTATAAATCTGTAGGATCCCACCTCCCCGCCCCCCCAAAAAAGGGGCTTTGTCCCTGAAGAAATTCAGTATCTGTTTTTTAACAGGTTTGAACTGAATTCAGACCCTGCCATCCCAAAACCAGACACACATTCTAGTTCTGCAAGTTTAATTTAATCACTGTGCCTAAGACTTATAGCAGGGGAGGAAATGGACATTTGGCCACACTTGAAAGAAGGTGATGTATCATATTTGGGTGGAAACCTGCACAGGAAAAGATCCCTTGGAAAATGGGTAATTACAACAAGTATTTGATGTCTGCTTGTGTGTGGGCCAGAGAGATGTAATCCACATTGTCTGGAGTTCTAAACATAACTCTGTATGTAAAATTAAAAGCTAGTTGATCCTGTGCATTGACCAGAGGGTGCAATGCCCGAACTGCTGGGTTTTTTTCCAAATATGCGCACTTGCATGTGTACACATACACACACATACTTCTGTCCCTGAAGGCTTTTCATGACAGGTTAAAGCAGTAGTTTTAGTGTGCTACATCAAGTTATCCTAGTGTTTTAGGGTTGGCCAGGAACTGCATTTTAAATGAATGAATATGAACTCGGTCTTTAAATTATTAAATTTAACCAACTGTTAATTGGTTTTATTATCAGGCCATCCATTAAATGTCCTCTGAGCTGATCTTTTATGGCCATGACACTTCCAGTCACTTCACTCACCATGTTCTAATGCAAGTACTCTGGGAATTGGTGTAATGATTTACCAGGCATTTAGAGTCTGTGTTTCATTGGGTTGCAAACAGGTGTGTGAAGCCCATTTCAGCAAAACAGCAGCTCTAGCAAATGTGTGGGCTAATTCTGGCCCCTGTATTACATGCTCCTCAAGGTCACCTGAACCAACACTTGGTTTCATTTCATCCTGGAGAACTGAGAAAGAGGAATTTGCCTAAACACAGCTAGCTATAAGTAGCTTTTGAGGCCCAGTACAACTCCTACCCTTTTCTCTGTCAGGAAATGACACAGACTGGAATGCAAAGCCTCCTTTCCTCCCCAGCTGACAATGCTGGCTGAAGATAAGCAGGAAGCTCCTTTGGTCTCCTATTGTCATTTGCTTAGTAAAGATTTCTCTTTGCTCTGGCATTGTGCCTCCTTGGATGCTCTGCATGTTTATTTGGAAGTCTTCTCTGTTGTAGGCTGCCTTTAGTCTCTGCCCTTGGTTCCCTGTCTGTAATCACCAGCTGTCTTCATCCTGTTCATGCTAACCCCTTCCTTGGTGCTTTGGGGTCCCTTGTAATTCACTAACCTGTTTTCTTAATTTACTTTTCTTCAAGTTCTTTGAAACTGGCCCAAAGGATTCTTGGCTGCATCTGGGGATATGGCTTTCTACATGACACCTTGACATAGAAACTGGGGAGTAAGACAGAGGCCCTTTGGCAACTGTGCAGGCAGAGGTAACTGCTATTCTGCAGTAGCTTTTCTTTCCCTATGATGACATATTTAGCAGGGTTCTCAGATTCATGGGAATCTGACAGGCCATCCCACAAGTGCTTCTGCTATGGCCTCAAAGTTGCAACCTCTGAGCTGTCAACTGTTTACATTAGTGCTCACAACACCACAGCCCCTTCTGCACTAGCAAAGCTGCCTTCCAGCTTGGGAGATGCAGATAGAAGGTTACTTTAGTGGCATTAGCTCTAGCTGGTACTGGGAGATTCTAATGCCCTTGGTCCTGTATGCCCTTTGTTAAAACATTGTTCAACCAGAGCTAGCCACAAAATCTGGAATTTCCGTTCTCTAACAAATTCTGAAAAAAAATGCTCTATTTCAAAGTAAAAGCACAATTTTGGAAATTTCCTGAGGAAGGGGAGAGCTGAATAAGATAGCTGGGAGGAATTACAGATCCCTAGCAGGAACCCAGACAGATGTAGTTAGCCGTGTTCATCTGAAGTCAGTCAGAAGGCATGGTAGATATGCATCTTTAGGTCTAGTACTTTAGGTCTGATGCTTTGGAGCTTGGGTTGAGTCCCAGGATTGAGGGTCTGCTGTTTGATTGGTGGAGCCCACCCACCAATCCAGAGGCAGCACAAGGGAAGCAATGCCCTGCCCTTTTCCAAAGGGAGGGGGCAAAGAGCAGCTGGACCTGAATTGGAACTGTACCAGACAGGTCCGTAGAACTTCGGGGTGGAGCCCCTGAAGAGTATAAAAGGGGAGCGTGCTCAGCAGGCTAGGGAGAGATGATGAGGGATGGGGAGGAGATCCAGAGACAGCCATCCTCAGGACCCTGCATGAGCTTCAGCTGTGTGCAAATCGGCGCATGGGGATCAGGCTCTAGGAGCTGCTCAAGGCAGCTTGAGCCTGCAAACCCAGCAAGCGGCTGGGCAGTCAATGTGCAGATCAGCACACAGAGAGCTGGCCCTGGGAGCAGCTCGAGGCTGCTTGGGCCTCAGCCGGCGCGCAGTTTGACGCATGGAGAACTGCCTTGGAAGCAGTTCATGGCTGCTCATGTTGGCCCTGGCCCTGGACCGGGTGACCAGAGCCCCACAGTGTGGCTCCACTTTTAACTAAAAGAGCCCTGGTGCCCAGAGCAGGGCCTGGGAAAGGGGAGATCCTCCCCCCCTCCCGGGAGTCGGAGCCTACAAGGGCTTGGCTCCCATGGGAGAGAGAGCCCTGGGTGCCCAGTGCAGGGCACCAGGCCATCAAGCAGTACCAAAGGCACTGCTGGGGAGAGGCTCTTGTGGGATCAGCCACCAGGGCTTGAGCCTTGACTTCTCTATAGAGGAAGCGTAAGTTGCTAGGGAAGCAGGCCCCACAGGCTAGGCTGACATGGGTGAGGAGGGTCTGCCATCTCCACCCTCCATTTTGGGAGGGGCGTGCCCACATCCCAGGGCCCTAAAGGAGAGGGGTTTCAGGGAAACCCCTCGGGGAGGTGCTGAATGCACTCCCTGTTTTGAGGTTGTTGTGTTAAGGGCTGTATAGCTAGGGGTATTCTTTAAGGGGGTTATATGGTTTATGTGTTTTTAATGTCTCAGTGTGTGTATTTGTGTTGTTATTTGTGAAGGTTTAAAGAAATATTATGGTTAAGTTACTTGGATTATATAGGTTACTATCCCTATGCGTTAATTGTGTTGTATAGGTTGTAAGTTATTTGGTTCATATTTGGTGTATGTGAATTGTGGAATATTTTATATAGTATTATATCTTAAGCCTTGTAAATATTCTGTGTTTTTATATTAAGCGTCTGTATTTATTCTTTTAATAAATTGTACATAGTTAGGTATTTGGTTTTGACCTAGCTCTATAGAGAGGGGAGGAAGCCACTCTACTGGCTGACCCCTTCCTCAGCACCCTGCCTGACCACCGCCACTGTCATTGGCTACATAGAGACAGTCAAAAAGCCCAAGGCTGAATTGATTCAGTCTTTGCAGGTTAGTCTAAGCTGCACAGATTAAATTGGAACAGAAGCAAATGGATTCAGGAAATGAAGGCATATGCCTGCAGTGGCTCAAGCCAGAAGCTGTGGGGTGCTAGAGTATGGCTCTCTGGCTGTGTTTGCTTCCTCTTCCTGCTGCCCATGAGGTCTCTGGGAATTGCAGTCCAGAATCACAAAAGCAGGACTCTGCAGGGTTGTTCATCACTTCCTCTTCCTGCTTCCAGGTGCCTCCGGGATTTGTAGTCCACAGTTGCAGCCAACAGTAAGTTTTAGTGAGGGAAGGAGGGTTTAACCCCCATCCCTGGCCCCAGACCCCAGCCAGGATTTGCCTGGGGGAGGCTGTGTGTGTGTCTCTGTCCCCACCATGTAAACGGGAGGGTGTGTGTGTGTGTGTGTGTGTGTGTGTGTGTGTCCACCATGTAAACTGGGCTGCATCCCCAGCCAGGCTCCTCCCCAACCCCCGCCTTCCCTTATCAGCCAGCCCTTGCTGCTCCAGCTGGGATGGGGGGTGCGGTACAGGCAGGCGGGCAGCCCTGCTCTCTGGAGCACACAGACCAGTCCAGAGCTGCAAAATGCTGGGGGACTCTGATTTAACTTGGACCAGGAAGGGGTCTACCTAAATAAGATTATATAGAAAGCATAAGCTTTTGTGAATCCAAGTTTACTTCATCAGATGCTGTGATAGGATGCTGAAAAAGCAGAGTATAAGAGGGAGAGAGAAATTACAATATAAAAGACAAGGGCAGGAGAAGCCAGAAAGCCTTGGAGTGCCAAGCTTCAGCACAGTATCCATGACATGGAAACAGTGGAGCCAAGGAGTCCTAACCCTGTGGTGATCTATAGCAGAGTGACCCAGGAGCCACAGATGCTGGAAGCCCAGGCAGGTGAACTGACAGGGAGCTGTGTACTGAGCTGTGTTAGAAGCTTATTACAACCAGAGAGCTTCCAAAAAACGCTTTGGTTTTGATGAATCTGCATGTTTCTATGGAAGTCTTTTTCATGGGTAATTCTTGACCTGCTTGTAGCCCCTGCGTAGCTAAGAGGCCTGACTAGCCTTTTTTCCCAGTGCCCCTTTCCCACTCATGGATACCCTGGTTTCTTGACCTCCCTATTGTTCTGCAGCTGCTAATTGTGTAGAGCTATTCTTCTGCATCAGGAATGCTGCACAGAGAGAACCGATATTGCACTTCATTTTGCTGACAGGCAAAAGGGGCCCAGGTAAGGGAGTGCTCTTAGAGGTGCTGGGAATCAAATAACTTTTGGCATGTCCTCAAGGAGGACTGAATAATCTTAATGAGATTTAAGAGCCTTGCTGCCTCCCTCCCTCCTCACACTCATAGAGCTGGATATCTGTTTTCTCCTCAGGTTGCCGGATCCTACCTGAAGCGGCTTGAGGACAGATCTGCTGTTGCACTTTACATATCCTCATTTGATTTTTTTTTTTTTTTTTCTTCTCAGATCAGCCAAGTCCTGGGTAATGAAATAAAATTTGCTGTGCGGGAACCTATTGGACTCAGGTAAGCTTTTATGTCTGATCTCAGAGCTCTGGCTCTTGGCATAGGCATGCCAGGACAGGGAAGGGGGGTACCAGCTCTAACACTGCTGGCCATCTCCCACGTGCAGCCTTGCTTTCTCCGTAACGTGACTAGTTCTAGCAAAGGCGTAGTGAGATCAATGACTTCCTGGGGTGGGATGGGGAGAAGGGGAGGGAGGGCTACAAGAGTGAGGTGTGCTGACCACTGTGGGGGGAGGGAGGGCAGAATTAGGAAGTCTTAGTCTTACCTTCCCAGGCTACTACAGCCACTGCTGCTTCTCTAGCAGCATCTGCTCCAGCAGGAGCAAACACATAGCTGGGCATCCTGGGAGCCAACCCTGGTGCAAGGCTGCCCCTGCCATAGCAAAGGCTTCTGAGAGGTGATTCTGGCACTTCTCTGCCCATAGTCAGTGCCCAGGACTGGTGCACCACTTGTCCTGCCCTAGTTACACTACTGAATCACATCGGGGCATGTGTCTGGGGCTCTTCGGCAACACCATGTGTCAGGTAACCCAACTTCTTTCTTTCTTCTGCTACAAACTTCCTGTGCTCCCTCTCACCAGCAGCCTCTTCTGTGCCTTTTTATGTGCTCTACAGGACATATAAGCCCATGTGACATATTACATTCACTGTACAGGCAATGTCAGAATATCCCTGTATGTGATAACTCTGGAGGGGTGCTTCATTCATATTGTCTGGGTTATATTGGGGATGCCTTACTTGCAATTGGTAGTTTGTGTAACCAGTGACATTTGGGTAGGTGAGATGGAGTACTGCACATCTGCAGTATGCACAGCAGGTATCTCACCTGTGGGGCAATGGCTGCTCACTTGTATGAGGTCCCTGCTCTTTGATGTGCTTACATACTGTGTGGTGGGTGATAGCACGGGACAGTGGACTGGCTGTCACTCATCTATGATATGTGTGGTGAGGGCTTACCTTTGTGAAGACCATGTGGAAGAGCCCTACTTGTCTTGAGGACCGGAGCCCCTGCATTCATGAAATGTCATCTGGAACCCTATGCAGGTCTGCTGCAGGTCTCTGACCACTTTGAGCTGTTGTAGAGCCACTACTGAAAGAGTGATTCATATGGGATGAGGAAACAAAGATCTCCAGAGCTGGCTTTGGACCTATGCATCCTGCCACAGTGTAGTCTTGTGTGCTGCTAGGGAGCCCACAGGTGTGGAAGGGATGAGTTGTGAGTTTGCAATCCATGAGTCCCATGATGCACTGGGACATCTGCTATAGCTTGGCTTGGTTACTGATTTAGCTTGGATGTATCTGATGATAGGCAGTCCTCGGGGGCATGGGCTCTGAACTGTGAATACACTTGCTGGTCCTATTTTTCCTGAGCTATGAGGACTGTTTACTGATTCTGGACTGTTCCCATTCTCTTCAAGTGGATGGGAATGTGTTCTTCTGGGATGCCCAGCTTTTGCCGGCCACTGCATCAACCCCCATGACTACCAGCAAGCCTGGGAGTATAGCTGTAAAGAAACAAAGTGAATGTCCTATTCCCTAGGCCATTGGCCTGCCTATAGTTACTTTCAAAGGATATTTGCTCCCCCTTAAGTCATTGGGAAACCCGTTGATTTCAGCAATGCACTGTCTGGCTGCAAATATCCGGTGGCATCATAGATGGTCAAAGTTTCCCCTGTCAGAGGTTCTGAAGGTTAGTCACTTCGCCTTGACTGTTTTATGACTGGCTATGAAATCCCTTGGTTTTTGTCTTTATTTCATGAGAGCTTCTCTTACTTGAGGACAGTAGAAGCAGTATCCACTGTCTCATCCCACTTAAGCATAAAGAAAAGATCACAAGCCATCTCCCCTCCTCCCTCTCATCCTGGGTAGGGGTGTTGCTTATAAGAGGTATGGGCCACGGCACTTGGGCAGGTGGAAAGGTAACGGTTTGAAGATCTCAGGGCCTCTGATCTGTGTTTCTTTCTGTGCAGGGTCTGGCAGTTTGTCTCTGCCATCATCTTTTCGGGGGTTGCCATCATGGTAAGTGAGAGATCCCTTCCCTGACAGAGCTGAACACTTGGCTGCCAGAGGGCAGTGGTGACGTAGCATGCAGGATTCTGTTATCACCTCCCTCCTCTTCTTTAACAGCCACTGCTACTTTCTCTTGCTGGTATTTGCTGGCTCTGGTCCTCTGCAGTGAGTTTTTATCAGCAATTTTCTTGACAGGTTGTTCCTAACAGGAGAGTCTCCTTTACAAGTTGACAAAACCACACATGGCACCTCTGTCCCTCAGTCACTGGGGAGAGGCTTTAAGCAAACAGCTGACATCCTATGATATTATATGTCCAGCACTCCTTTTCCTCATAAATGCCTGATTTTACAGTGTGCACCCCTTTGCCTCAAGCAGAGCTTCTGCTGTTCTACTTTTCATTGTCCCCAAGTGACCCAACTCATGCAGAACCACTGAGATTCTCTCTCTTGCTTCTCTTAGGCTTTCACTTTCCCCGATCAGCTCTACGATGCCATCTTTGAGGAAGAATTGGTCAACAGCAAGACTCCCATCCGGCTGTATGGAGGAGCCCTTCTCAGTGAGTAATGCTCTGGGACTGTGCTTCAGGACTCACGCAGCAGCTCCTCTGTAGCTCCCAAGGATGCTAGACTCAATTTTGCATATCTGAGTTAAGAATCCGAGTGGGCAAATTCTGCACTAGAAATAACTGTAGATCTAGGCAGAGCAGAATTGGGCAACTTCAGAATAACTGACGCATCAGCAGATCTTTGAAAAAAGGCTAAATTCCCTTAGCACTGGGATCAGGAAGAAATCTGCCTCCCTCCCTGTTCCCATCCCAATATGTACTGCACAGTGCAAAGAGAGAGGATTGTAGATTGTATGCTGCCTTTTTAGCATCCGACATTGGCTACTGCAAGTTGGTCAGATCCATTGCAGTCGGAGAAGCAGAGGGTGGAGAGTGGGATTGTTATTTGGGCACATGGGCCTGATCCTGAGCATCAAGAGCATGGGGACCCACTGGGTTTACTCAAGTGGAGGCATTCCCTTGTCTCCATGAGGTTGGAAGCACTGAAGGAAGTGAAGCTGTCTCCACCAGCTCCATGCTCTGTGATGTCTGGAATTAGCAGGTGTGAGAAGACTTCAGAACACTAATCGGCAGTTTTGCAGTGCCATACTGGGAGGAGGAGGATGTGGTAGTAGAGCTGGGGGTGAAGGAGTGGAGAGTGGGAGGTTTGGGGAGAGTCTAGCGCTGCAGATTTCTCTTTGGAATTAAAACAAACAGATAAATTCAACAAATATGCAAGGGCTCAAACTCCCAGGGTGCCATGTGTCCCAGGGGGAGAGGAGAAGCCTGCCCTCCTGCTGTTACCCTGGGTGCACTCACGCTGGTAACAAATGCAGATACCAGAATTTTCAGTCCAGTGCCTCTCACCAGCTCTTAACCTGTTCAGGCACAAAATCTCATTGCAGATTGTTCTTGGAGTTTATAATGCAGAGAGTGGTAGGCTGGAAAAAGGGGATTGCCACTGGGTGCAACTGCTCGGCCTTTTCTTCTTTAAACAGCGGCAAAGATCACAGCAGGTGCTGAGCCTGGTGGGGAGCAGCATCTGGCATTCTGCTACAGATTAGAAAGCCTATTTTGAGTTTAGGTGCTGTCCAGCTTCTCTCCTAGCTTATAGTAGCATCTGGTGGTGTAAAGCAGAAGTGCAGCAAATCGCTAGCTCTTGAAAGCCCTGGTGCTGTGTTGCAGCTAACGTTTTTGTGGCTTCGGATTTCCCTTTTTCTTTTCCTGTTTGCCAATGTAGTCATAACAGGACCCCTCACTCTCTCAGCTATCTAACTTGCCTCTTTGCCCATGATATCTCATAGCTCTTAAAAGCAGTTCTATTATGTGTTCTCTCTTCTCAGGTATCTCCCTTATTATGTGGAATGCCCTATACACAGCTGAGAAGGTCATTATCCGTTGGACTCTACTTACAGGAGCCTGCTACTTTACAGTACAGTTTCTAGGTAAGTAGCCCTCACTGCAGTGAGGAAGGAGGCAGTGGATGTGCTGGACAATAAGCCTGTGTGAAAAGGCTAGTATTCACTTTGGACTTGGCTGATTCACAGGACAGTGATTTGATTTGGTGGTTCGAATCACTGTCCCAAATTGTTTCAGCTGAATCCCACAGGCCTACCCCCTGCCCATTCTCCCAGCCCGGCAATGGCTGCCCCACCTGCCCCAGCTCCTGGCACTTCAGAAAAAAACAAAAGCCCCTACTCACCAACTGCTGCCCAGCAGGGGGGTGATCCCCACTTCCCCACGCTGCATGGAGGGCTCTGCCATGAGCCCCCTGAGCCCTGTCTGCTGGCCCGCCTGCCCCAGCTGCGGCTCTTTAAGAAAAAAAAACCCCAACAACCTGCACTCACCCTTTCCTGCCCAGTGGGGTGGCAATCCCCACTGCCCCCCACTGCCCGGCACTATGTGGGGTGGATCTGCATGAGCCCCCAGGAGCCCCAAAGCCAATGCAGGAGCCAGTGAGTCTGGGGTTTTTTGTTTTTTTTTTGGTTCTTTTTTTCTTAAAGGGTTGGAGCTGGGGCAGGCGGGGTAGCCATGGTGGGGCTGGTACAGTGGGTGCAGGGTTGGGGGGCTTGTGACAGGCCCACCCAT